GAATGTTCTCATAAATCAATTATGGCAAATAGGCATTTGTTTTCGTACAAAACATATCAAACTTATATAAGACAATACTTATGCGATTAATTTCCGTTAATTCTACTTATGCACAGAGTGATCATCTCGACCGGGGAACAAATCCGATCTTTAACTTTATTTAAATATTCTTTTAAATTTACATCATTGGAAAGATGATTTCAACCGGGGAACCAATCCGGTAACATAATTTATATCTTAAAATTCCCTATATGAATTTGTTGAAAGATATTACTTAGGAAAACAATAAACTAGTCCGGCCTGGGAGTCGAACCCAAGACCTTCATATCATTAATTCGACATTTCTTCAAGATTTAACTAAGCATTTTCTTATTAGAACATTGTTGCTCGATAATTTGTTTTTTAGAAGCTATTCGTCATCGGTTGACTTAATAAACTGAAATACTCTTATAGGCGCATCGCCAACACCCCGTGTAGGTCATGTGAGAGTCACGTATTTCCGAAGTGTCGAGATGTAGCTAGGCATTTTTGCATTGTGGTCGTTTTTTTTTTTACGGGCTTCCTATTCTCACCATGACCAAACCACCGAAGCCTGTGCTTCGGTGGTTTGGTCATGTGGAAAGAATTTTGTTGTCATGGGAAAGAGTGACAAAGAAAATTTATGTTGCAGAAGTGAATGGCAGAGTCGGAAAGGGACGTCCTAGGCGAAAATTTATCGACCAAATTGGCGATTTATTGAAAACAGGCCAAATTAGGAGTACCCTTAACCGACGAGCATGTATGCGTAGGTGTATGGATGTGAAGGAGGCGAGAGAGGTTTGTCAGAATCGTGCCAAATGGAAGTCTGTAGTCTCTGCCTACCCCTCTGGGTGACAGGCGTGAGTGTTTATGAATATGTAAGTATGTATGACTTTTAACCAAGCTTTTATTAGCATCGCGTGTATCTATCTACCTATCTATGTAACGAAATTTTTAATGTAATTTTCAACAACTTGTATGCAGCCGATGGACTTTTTGAAAATTTGATTGATTGAAAATTTTAACGACCGATCTCATATCATGGACCGGACTAGGATCATCACAGTTCATGATCAATGCGTAATGTTTAAGTTTTTTTTATAGAAGAGGGGCAAACGAGCATGTGGCTCACTTGATGGTAAAAGACTACCGCCGCCCATGAACAACTGCACCACCAGGGTAGATTGTAGATACGTTGCCGGCCTTTTAGAAAGGAGTAAGCTCTTCTATTGAAGGTTTCTAAGTCGTATCGGTCCGGAAAAATCGCCATTGGTAAAAAACTCCACAGAGAAGTTGTACGAGGAAGAAAACTCCCAGTAAAACGTACAGTAGTGAATCGCCAAGCATCCAGATGGTGAGGATGGTATCGGGAATTTTGACACGATGTGCGTTCGCGAAATTTGGGGGCTGGAACTAACCCGGACAATTCCTCAGAACACTCCCCATGGTGGATACTATAGAAAACGCAAAGGGTCGTCGACAATTCGAATTCTCTGCGCTGGATGCGGTCGGCTGGCACTGGGATGCCCTGGCCCAGAGATGAGAACAGTATTCCATGTGAGACCGAACTCGCGCTTTGTAAAGTTGCAAGCGAGGTGCCGGCATGAAATACTGTCCCGCTCTGCTGAGCACGCCAAGCTTTTTAGAGGCCAATTTGGCCTTCCTCTACAAGTGACCACGAAACTGCACACTATTCAATATGTCGATGCCGAGGATTCCGATGCTAGCTGAGGCAGCAAGGGGAGTACTTTCAAACTGAGGAGATACGACGAAGGGGTTCTTTTTGGCGGTTAACACGCAAAGTTGTGTCTTCTGGGGATTGAATTGCACTAGATTTAGTCGCCCCAATCCGAGACTTTCTTAGGCAGAGACTCGACTTTAGACAAAAGTTTGCCCCGGTACTCGGCGACGATTTCCCGAGAAATATTGGCACGGCCGATGTATAAGACATCACCAGTGCTGTCGTCTGCATAGCAATGAATGTTACCAGTTTGCAGCATATCATTGATATGCAGAAGAAACAGCGTTGGTAATAGCACGCAGCCTTGTGGAACACCAGCGTTAATAGGCTTGTAATCAGAGCGTACACCGTCTACTACGACCTTGATGCTCCGATTAGCAAGAAAACTAGTGATCCAATCGCACATTTTCTCGGGAAGCCCACAAAAAGGGAGCTTCGAATAAAGCGCTTTGTGCCAGAACCAATTAAACCCAAAAAAAAGGCCTTCGCTATGTCCAAACTAACGGCCAATGTCTCCTCCTTGGAATCTACTGCCTCCACCCATCTATGAGTAAGGTAGATCAGAAGATCACCAGCTGATCGACCACGACGGAAAACGTATTGGCGATCACTGATCAGCTGGTGATTCTCAAGGTACCTCATGAGCTGGCGGTTTACAATAGACTCCTTTATTTTGGAGAACAAGGAGGTGATGGCGATTGGACGTGTCTAAGCGGTCGCCTTTTTTAGGGATCGGCTGGACTAAAGCTGTATTACAAGAATTCGGGACTACACCTTGGGAGTAGGAGTACCGGAAAAGAGGCGGAATTACACTTCTTTTTAAGAGCGCTGGTGTTTACATCTCGAAACGTTGATGTGTCAGCCCAGGCCCGGTAGTACTTCTGCTTGTAGCGTGATGCTATTTTACAGGAGCGACCAAGCCATGGCTGGGATCTGCCTCCAGTGGGCTCCACAGAGGACGGAATGAAATTTCCATACCTTGAAGTACCACATCAGCAGCAGAATCAGCAACAACGCTAGGGTCGTCCGGCGAGAAGCAATCCCGCCCCCAAGGGTAGGATGCAAAAATCAATCCCTGATGAGTTTTTTTAATATACAAAGCATACTACTCTATCAACGAATACTTTGAAGATAAAATGAATGGTTTTTAGTACCTGCAATAATTAATGGACGATTTATTTATTATATGTTTATATTTATGTAATTGATAATTAAGATAATAATTAATGTTATTTCTAAACATACTAATTATAATTGAAATTGTTATTTTATTAAAAATTAATTTTCATATTGCCAGGTGATAGGGATAAACAAATATTTGTATTCATATCTTGGTAGGCGAAACATAGTGTTACGTATCATACCTTTTCCACCAAGTTTGTAACTTTTTACCTATGTTTTACAAATAAATTATTTGATTTGATTTGATTTGATGTTGCAAAAATTCAGGGATAGTGTGGCAGGGGTCGCCATGGTGTTGTTGCTCCGCTTGCAATTTTTATCGCAAACAAAATTGCGCCCCCCGCCCCCCCAGAATACGCGGGGCAGCCTGAGCACCCACGCTCAGGAAGAGTAGGATAACTTGGTCGTGGATTCTCAGCGAGGGATTCTCCGTCACCAGGGGTGCTGGTACCCTCCTGGGGTAAATATTCACTTAATTCCGCTACCATGTTAAGGGGGGGGGGCATTGGACTTCCGGCCACCCTGTACTCACCAAGCGAAATGCAGAGGTAACTCTCTACTTTACGCTGGTATTCTGTGAGATCGTGGTATCACCCCGGTTTGAGCCGGCCCATCCGTGCGATAGCAAAAGCTGCCGCGTGGCTCTACCACTGTAAAAATGTTTTCTTAAACTCTAATATTATTTTTAGCAAGGTACTAGTATCAATCTACTTTTAAATGCAACAAATTTAATACTTGTACATACATTGCATTGAAAACTTTTGTATCTAGTACGTGTATGTAACACATATACTACATGTAACTCTTTCTTCACAGTTTAGGCAATTCTCTTCTGGAACGCCTTACCTGATGTCAAGGAAGTAACAAATAAGCTTTTGTTTAAAAGATTGGTGCGACAACGTTATTTAGATGTAAACAACAATTAATTGTATGATTTATATATATATATATATATATATATATATATATATATATATATAATATCTTTACATTATAATATCTTGTGTTTTATATATACTTATTCCATTGATGGGTATGTACAAAGTTCCTTAATGATTGTCAGCAATACTTTAGTCGTGGTAAATCACGACTTAAGCGCTCAGCTTTCAATGTAAATAGTACGCGAGCAAACCAAGTTCGTGCCTCGCCGGCACCACTAAAATTGTTGATTACAATTTTAGGAGCTGATTTATCGCGTGCTGGGCGTTGAAGTAAAACGCGAGGAAATTTGCATGACTAAAAATTGATCATTATCACCATCATCATTTTAACGTAAGTCGATTTCCGAACATAGACGACTTTGCATATCGGTACGAGATTGCCACTCAAGATCTTTCGAGAATATCTGAGGTCTCAAACATACATTGGGGCATTATGATGGATCCACGGACTTCCATATCCTATTAATTTCGGGAGTGAGTAAACGCCTGTATCCAAACTGTTATGTGAGGCTGATCAAAACGTAATCTATTGTCAACAAAACAATACGTGTTAGTGAATTCAATGTAAGCAATACGAAACAATAAAATATAAACATAAATAATAAATACTTGTCAATTCAAATTAGTCGTCATCATCGACAGACACCGGCCTCATGTAGTTAACTATGTTACGTGTTTTTCTGCTTCTGTGCTTAATTACGCAAGATAATTTGGCATTTACGACAAAACGAACGTTTCGCCGGTCTGCGGAAACATTGCCGAGTGTTAAACAAAACAGATTTAATCGTGAGTTTGGAAAAATATTAGTAAATTCCGCAATATTTGTAAATATTTTTAGTGTTGATAAACGTAGTGCTGTTTCGAATAAAACTATTGTCAAAAATGGTAATCAAAAAAACAATAGAACATTTGTAAATAATTTAAAAAATAGTGGTAATAAAATTGCAATTAAAAATGGACAGAATACAGTTATCCGTTCGATTATACCGTTTACAGAAGGTCCTTTATTAGTAAACTTTAATGATACAAACACAGCATCAACGATTGTATCAAAAAACTGCAACCGTAAATCGACCGATGTTTTAACACATTCCTCCAGAAAGAGGAATGATAAATCTATGCATAGAGTACACCTAAAAGAGTTGGATTTAAAATTGAGTTCAAAAAAACCTAATTTTGACTGGCCGTATTTTTTTGATAATCCTCAAAAATATGAACAATTCGAGGATGCTTCTGAAATTGAAAAAGCTAAGGATAAAAGATACTCTGCAGACTTTATACCTCTTCATAAGAACATTCCTAGCAGTTCATCTAAAGTTAACCGTCTACCTTTGCAGTATCCACAAGACGCAGATAATCCTGTATTTGGTGATCAAGCATTTTTTTCATTTATACTTAATGATTATTTCGATAGAAATATTGAAGATGATCCGACACTATTCAAAGGTCTTCATTGGGGAAAGGAATTTGACAGCGAGTTTTCCACCAAAGGTAGAGATGCAAAACGTATAAGACGTTTAGAAAATAACAATCTGAATGATAAAAGCTTTGATACATCGGTGAATTTGGAGACTTACGGAGAGCAAAAACAAAATATTGGTAGTTATTCGAAAGTTAAACAGCATAAATATCCAGAAACATGTAAGGGATTTAAGGACTTTGTTGAAAAATTTGCACAGAAATTTGGATCAAGGAATAATGAAAACAACGCAAAATCGTTTGTGAGTAAAGGCGAAGGCCAAAATAACGAAAAATCTCAAAAATACACAAACCCAAAAGATGAATTTCAAGAAACCGGTGAATTATTGGAAGAATTACTAACAAACTATAACGATGGCAACGTTGATGAAAAAGATACATTTTCGACAACTATTAGTGATTTTGAACATTTTTTAAATGCGCACGAAAGTCCATCCACAAATAAAGATACCGATGACAAGATTTTGTTAGGCAAATACGCAGCAAGCCGTTTAAGTCGATTTAGATATGTGGCCAAAAATGCAGCGTTGGTTAATAATGCAGATTACATAGATACTTCTGAATACGCTATATAAAATATCACAAATATTTATAACGATAAAGTAATTATTATTATGTTTTGACATTATTTCCCTGTACCCTTTTTAATAACTAGGCGGTAGTACCAATTTTCTAACTAAAAGTCTGTCTGGGTTGGTACCACCGCCATGTCGCCAAAAAAACAGTGCAAGCACTGCTGGACTGCTGTATTATGACAAAGAATAGTATATGTAATAAATAGGTATGTTACGGTCTGATGGGTGTAAGGAGCCAGGATAATTACAGGCGGTGAGGCATTCCATCTACTTCTATATATAAGTTGGCTGCAGGTGTCCATGTACTGCAGTAGCTACTTACGATCAAGTGAACTGTAAGTTCGTTTGCCACTTTATTTTTATAAAAAAAACGAGTATGCTTATGACCACACAACTGAAGTAAAACTTCTTTAGCGCCATCTTTATGTGTGTGTGTGTGTGTGTGTGTGTGTGTGTGTGTGTGTGTGTGTGTGTGTGTGTGTGTGTGTGTGTGTGTGTGTGTGTGTGTGTGTGTGTGTGTGTGTGTGTGTTGTGTGTGTGTGTGTGTGTGTGTGTGTGCGTGTGTGCGTGGTGTGCGTGCGTGTGTGTACGTGCGCGCGTGCGTGCGTGCGCGCGTGCGCGCGTGTGCGCGTGTGCGCGTGTGTGTGTGCGTGTGCGCGTGTGTGTGCGTTCGAAATTGAGCGACGCCGCCAGATTTTGCGCAGTGTGTAAATTATTATTTCAAGCATGATCGAGATCTCTTCAACGATTTTCTGATAAGGAGCATCTTTTGCGAGTTTATTTTTATATAAAACCGATTTGTGGTTCCATAAACATTCATAGGATTTAAATTCCTGAATGAACTTCATGGTTGTTTCCGAATTCCACATTTCCGCAGCCATGATCACATAAGTAAACACGTGTTTTCACTTCCCGGTACACAACTTGTCACTAACTAACTTGTCGACCTGTTAACACACGGTCAGCAAGCGACAAGTGCTTAGTAAATCGTGGTGGGGGTATCGATTTGTCGCTTAGTTGTTTATTCATTGATTTAAATACTAATACTAAGCACTAATCAGCGTGTTTACACATGAGGACTTAGTATTAGTGACAAGTACTAAGCGCTTAGTTACGAAGCCCGTGTAAACCGCCCATTACTCACCAAGTCAAACGAGCGTAAAGAAGTTATACTTCAAAAACCTATGTGTTCAACAAGATAACTGCATGTCCGTCTATCATCTCTTATAATTGAAACTATACATAGTTTAAAAGTCTAGTTTCAATTATAAGAGATGATAAAATAGTCATGTTAATTCGGTTTATTGAAAGCCTAAGTACAATTATCAAAGCTCCATCAAATTATTTAGTACATCTATACATATAAATTAAAGTGTCTGTCTGTAACATCGAAATAAATGTCTTTTACATTATGTCTCATCATCATTACAGCCCTTCACAAGTCCACTGCTGAACTAGGCCTCCCCTAAGGTATGCCACAAATCACGGTCCTGAGCCATCTGCATCCATCGACTTCCTGCATGTCTTACCAGGTCGTCACTCCATCTAGTGGGGGATCGGTTACCGGTACGAGGCTGCCACTCGAGAACCTTTTTTCCCCAACGGTTATCGGTTCTTCGAGCTATATGACCGGCCCATTGCTACTTCAGCTTACTGATCCGTTGGGCTATGCCGGTCACTCTGGTTCTACTGCGGATATCCTCATTTCTAAAATTATCACGCAGAGAAACTCCGAGCATAGCCCTTTCCATAGCTCGCTGAGCGACTTTGAGCGTCCTCATACGGCCAGCAGTGAAGGACCACGTCTCAGTTCCATAAGTCAGCACTGGCAACACGCACTAGTTGTACAAGGACATGAATAACCTTTTTTAAAATTTTTGTCTGTTGGAGTAGCTGAACCTATTATAATGAAACAAGTCGTAACTATGTAAGATCTAAACAACGCAAATTAATAGACTCTTCCCAGCAGTGTGACCATACGAGTATGTGGCCTTATTTTAGCCTTTGTCATGATCGGTTGACGCAGGTTAACGTTTAATAAAACCTGGCAGTATTTGGCAATATTGGGGTATTTAAAATAGATTTAACTATGCAATGTTTGTATCACATTAACAAACACACATAAGCAACTTTTAAAAGTTTGTATGTAAAGTTGATAATCTTAAAACAAGTATTCATAAATACGAGTTTATGGTTAATATTTCAATCAGTCATACTCGTAGAAGAGACATTTATTATATATATCGCAAATTTTCCAAAAGGAAATGCTTACCAATGTCAAACGCTGCATGCGAAAAAATATTCTCAAAAATAAATTTAATTATGACAAAAACACGAAACAGATTAATTTATAAACAAACATGTAGCGTCTATCTTGCACGTTAAATAAAGCATGCAAGGTGACATGGAGATTGTATTGCAATCAAACCAACGAAAGATATATTAAATCGAATGAATAAATCCACGTAAAAAAATGAAATAATGAAGAATATTATGCTAACTGTAATGTTTTACAATGGTATAACTGGTATATAAAAGGAGTGCCTGAAAACCAGCGCTTCCATGTGAGCAAAGGCTGAGTCACCTCCGTGTGCCTAAATTTAATTAAGGTTAAGTAGTTATTTTATATGTAATCATGTTTTTTAAAAGTGGCATTAAAATGATATTTATTTATTTTATTTATAAATAAAGTTTTAAATAAGGCAGTATTTAAGCATTTTTCACTACAGATTTTGGCATGTTTTGGCGGTTTTTAATCAAACTAAGGCAGGATCTGTATTTTAAAGATGGTCATACTGCTACCCAGAAGTCGGGCGGGTCGCTAATTTGCTCCCATACTAATATAATAAATAATATTTATATGTATGATATAATTTCGTATCCTAACATGCTATATGTTAAGATTTAATAAAATGCACATCAAAATTGGAGTTTTACTTCTCATTTTTATTATCATTTGTGTTCCATTTTTTTTCTCTTTCTTATTTATTTTATTTATTTATTTACTCTTTTTGTACAGCACAATACAGAAACATCAAGTACAGTTAAAACTAAATTAGAATATGTACAATAGGCGGTCTTATCACTCTGAAAGTGATTTCTTCCAGACAACCTTTGCGTAGAGAAATGTTGCAAACAAAAGTTAAAATAGAGCGGGGCATACAGAATAATAATAAAAAATATAAAAATAAATACAAATAAGGATAAGTGAAAATTATATAAAATATAATATAATAGATTATATAAAAAGAGTACGAGAAAGGTAAAGTAATTTATCTAATAGTGTTCTAAATAATACGATTTAACAAGACCTTTGAAAGAGTGAAGATATTTAGCAAGACGAATATGGATAGGTAAAGAGTTCCACAATCGCACAGCAGTTACAGTAAAGGATTTCTTGAAAAAGGAAGAAGAGTGCAAGGAAGGTGTAGAGAGAGAAAGATTGACGGAGGATCAAAGGAACCGATGATGGGTAAGAGAAAGATACAAAAAACGATTTTTTTTAAATAAAGAGGAGTGGAAGGATTAAACAGCACGCTATACAACTCGGAGAGAATGTGAGTATTCCTGCGATGGCGGATCGGGAGCCATTTGAGCTGTTTGCGAAATTCGGAGATATGATCATATTTGCGAAGCCCAAATATAAATCTAATGCATAAATTTTGAATGCGCTCAACCTTATTAAGCTGCTCCTCGGTAATCTCAAAATAGCAAATATCAGCATAGTCAAGGATAGGCAGAAGTAGCGACTGGGCGAGCGTAACTTTAGTTGCTGTAGGAAGAAAATTACGTAATCTACGTAAAGAGCTTAACGCAGCAAACATTTTTCTACAGACCTCATTAGCCTGTGAGGTCCAAGACATACAGGAGTCAAGATACAAACCCATGTTTTTAACCTTGTGGGAAGACCAGTCGATTTTACCAATTAATCTAGAACTACCGATGACAATGACCTGAGTTTTCTTACGATTAATCGTTAAACCATAACATTTACTCCAGTTCGAAATACAAGTCAGATCAGCGTTAATAGTATCAACTCCAAAAACAGATCTTCAAGAGAGGACTGAGTATAGATTTGGAGGTCATAAGCATACAAGTGGTAGGAAGAGGACAAATTATGACTTATAGAGTTAATGAAAATTGCAAACAGGAGAGGAGACAACACGCCACCTTGTATGTGCAGTAGTTGTACTATGGCCAGGACGGAACTGGATTGCAAGGGATTTAAAAGATTGTGTTTTAAAAGATAGGTGCTTAATTAATTGTGCACAAGACGTTCTAGAACTTTGGATAATCAGAAAAACTAGAGGGATTTAACTTTTTCGGAAGAGGAACTACAAATGCGTCTTTCCGAGCTGAAGGGAAAAAAGCAGAATTCAGTGGATTATTCTGGATAGAAGTGATTATGGGTAAAAGGAGATCAATGAAAGGGATGGCCATTTTCCGACTAATGCAGTCACTACCAATCGAATTTTAATAGATGAACATTATAGCTCTCTTAACATCACAACTGTTAAATTGGCTAAAGTTAAAAGCAGAGTCGTCCAGAGTGGGAGCTTTTGAAAGAGAATCCAAAGCATTATGTTTTGCTTTATCCTTAATGCAAGACGAAGATGAGAAATTCAAATTAAGTTGATTGAGATCAAAGTTATATTGTGTGAGATTTTGTCATAATTTCCCAACTCCTAAAGACTTAAGAAATTTCCAGACCCTAACAGGGCCAGGGTCTTGTACTGATTCATAGATATGGCGTCGTTGTGCTTTTCTACGCAGATTGTTGCAACGATTCCGTACTAATCTATACTTCTCTCTATTCTAATCGCTAGTAACTGACTTGTATTTAGCTTTGGTACAATTTTTAATGTGGATGATTTTTTTTATATCATCGGTCAGCCAAGGAGAGGGAGGATACTTTACACGCACTGGACGAACAGGAGCATGAACGTCGTAAAGCTGAATTAACAGAGAGTTGAACAAAGCTATCTGTTCATCAACAGTAGACGCATTAACGACTACACTCCAATCAATCTTTACAGCGTCATTTAAAAGCTGCTCCAAATCCAAGTCACTAAACTTACGTTGAAGTAGTATCTTTGACTTAGCTTTAGGAGGACGGATTTTGTAAGACAAGTATAAAAGATCGTGATAGGAAAAAGAATCAGCAGCATGTTGCCCAAATTTATGAACATGGTCAGGTGAAGACACAAACATTATGTCGAGAAGACAGTTCAGGAAAAAGTGTGTGGCAGAAGTAGGAAGAAGTTTTAAATTTGCTGCTTCAATAATAGGTTTAAGTTTTACTGATCTAGCGTTGTTTTTTAAAACACAAGTATTAAAATCACCCATAATAATACTGTGACAATAGATAGGTGTAAGATTGTCAAGAATATTTTCTAACGTAGTGAAGTAGTCGACAATGAGTGTAAAAGACTCCGAGAAGTAATTTTGTATGACCTAGAAGAGCTTCAATAAAGAGAAATTCAGTTTCGTTCCCAGTCTGCGAACCATTTGAAACTTGAATTACTGAAAAAGGTATATGAGAGCGCAGATAATAGCGTTACGAATCAAATGAAAACCTAGAAGCGAGTAGGATGTTGTTGGAAGACATGGTTTTAACCACGACTCCGAAACAAGGATAGCGTGTATGTTTTTGCTATTAATACTTGACAACATGTCGGGGTAATGAGCAGGAATAATTTGAGCATTTATGTGAATAGCGTTAAAGTTTTTGCTAAATTCAGAAAAAGTTGAATCTAACTTAATATTTAAGGGTGCAACGCTTTCAAAGCTGTCAATACTGCTTAATCCATCAGAGGCATAATCAAAGGCGAAGGATTTGGAATTTCATTACATTCGAATGAAACTGCTTTTTCACTTAGTGGACGTACCTAAAGTTGTAGATTTTGAGGAAACTGCGATCTTTTTCTATCGAGTCAAAATGTGTCAATCGTATCATTAACCAACAAGTGGACTATGTATTTATTTGTCACCCTTATCTTAGAAAAAATCAGCATTTAAAGTTGCAATTAGTTCGGACAGAGCTCGCTGGGAAACTATAAAAGACGTGAGAAAAAAACCTTGATCTCACATGGCTTTCAAATAATGTAAAGGTTTGTAAAAGTCCCTGGTTTATTGTTTAAAAACAGATAATATAAAATAAGAAATCAACTATACACAACAATTAAACATACTACTAGAAAAACGTATTAACTTTGGTAATCGATGTAAAATTCGACAAAAATCTTTCTTAATTCAAAACTTGTAAGATTTCATAATTAAAGGTCATTAATTTATTTCTTCGCTGCACTTTTTTGTTGCGGAATTTGTGGAAACATAGGCAAAATACTCAAAATTTTATCCATTATTAAAGAAGTTTTCTTTCCCAATTTATCGATATAGATACCTACGTCCCACGGTGATCTGATTGTCCGAACTGAACTTTTATGTCCATATTTTCTAGTATCATCTGTTTCATCACCAGCATCCTCTTGTGCATAAATTATTTTGACATTTTTTTCCGAAGTTTTTGTTGTAAATTCATCATAGTAGTCATCTTCTTTGACTTTACTTGGGTTTTTTTGTGGTTTCTACAAATATTTCTTCACGTTTTTTAGGGATCTTGTTTTGTGATGTTACCACTTCGTCATTTATCACTTTAATTTTCTCAGATGTAGATTTAGCTTCAAAGTCAGGCACTAATTTCGTATTATTATAATTTGTACCGATTTTAACTTTGCGTCTTGGTTCTAGTGGTTTCCCTCTTGTAATATACTCATCGTGATTCACATCAAATTCGTAATCATCAACACTGAAATCTTCATCTTCATTCTCACTAGATTCTGTGTACTTTTCGGGCCAACGAACCATTCTTGTTTGATAGTCTTCTTCGTAATCAATTTCAACGTACGTTGGTATAGGCTTTTTTATTAAAGATATTCTTGGTTTTTGTACGGAACGTTTTATATTTGTCCCATTTTGTGCCTCACTAACTTCGATGGACGAACGACTTTTCCTTTCATGGTGTTCGTGTCCATGAAGACAATGTTTGGTTATGGAAACTGCCTTAAAATCGTCGTTTTTTGAAACAATTGATCTTTCTGTAGTTTTTTGTAGCAATCGACCTCTAGATTCAAGAATACAGGGAAGAGCAAATGAGATAAAAATCATATTTTTCATTGCTACGTTCCACAAGTTGCTCTGTTTGTATCACGACTGGTGAGAGCGTATTGGTTCAGAGTATAATGTAAACAAGTTATGTTTTATATAACTGTCCACGACGCGCTGAAACAATGTACGTTATAGTACAAATATGGACTGAGTAATAGAAATAATATTAGTAGTAACAATGCTTAATCACCATTGTGATGAGACAAAATGGCGCTAGGGTTCCGTTCTTATATAACAGATAATAAAAATGTATGAAAAATACCAACTAAAATACGTCTTCTAACGTAATCGTTTGAATTTTAATACAGTCCAAAATAAAAGGAAATTCATTTAACTTACATATACAGGCGTCTTTTATAGAATAAGGTTGACAAACGGACACACAATTCACCTGATGGTAAGTGGATTTTGTGGCCCATTGACAACTTCATCTATCAATCAAAAATCAAAATCCTGATGTGTTGTCACCGCTGAGAACTAATATGGAATACCTCGTTGCCAGTAAAAAAGTATGTACCGTTCTCTACATACAAAACACAGCAGTAATAAGCTGCTATTTTACGTTGATATTCTTTGTGAGCGTGGACCTTTACCAGTCGTGTCGACCCATTTATGCTAAAACTAAAATATAGCTGCATAATTACTGTACAAAGTAAAACGACATCCTTCTTGTCTAGTATACATCATATTATTATACGACTGCATAAAAAAACGCTTTAAAACCTTCGCTTTAAAACTCATTGTGAAAAATAATTTAACATTTATCAATATAAAACCAGAAAGTTTAAGTATAATATATCTCAAACAAAGGCTATACAATAGGTGTTAAGCGTACCGTGCCGATAGATGCGTGGCTGGGGGGAAGTCCGGTCGCAAACGGTGCCTACCCGAGACCAGGGCGATTCGGGTAGTATTTTAGTTCTTTCCTCGTCATGTGGGCTCTGCCGTGGGTGACCGAATGTTATCCTAGCTAATCGTGGAACCAGAATGGAATGGAAGATCGACATACTGAAAAACTCAATTCTCCTTTAATGGAACTCTCTGTAGGTCTGGAAGAGGCTTTTTTAACCTCACCAACACCCTGCAACTCAACGCCCCAACCTGGGTCAAGCTGTGAATTGAAGGCGCGTTAGCAGCCGAACCACAATTGGAAACGAAGCAGGGAAGGGACAAGAAAAAGTTCGCTAGACCTTACAAGCTTAGTGGGGCAGCACAAAAGAGGTACAGGAGGCTGATAGTAGCTGAAATAGGAGCCAAGAAAAATGTGAAGATGGTAACGGAGAAGAAGAAGCTTCTTTGCAGAGGACAACATTGACTTCGCCCTCATACAAGAGCCTTGGGCTGCTGATTGTCAATTATTTGGTTGGTACTGAGATTGTGGTCTTAATCAATACTAAAGATAGTAGACCCAAAGCTTGCATAGTTTTTGTATAAAAACATAAACCTTTTAGCTGTTTCAGAGTACTGCAACGACGACCTGGTTACAGCCTTCATAAATCTCAAGGGATGCAACAAAAGGCTAACGGCTAACACGCAAACAAGGGCTAGAGTAACCATGTGCTCAGGCTATCCTACCGGAGAGTTGAAACGAGTGGCGGAATTCGCCTGAAAACACAACGCCGAACTTGTGGTGGGTTGTGATGCTAATACTCTCCACACAGCCTGGGGAAGCACTAACATCAACGAAATTGTTACTTTATAACTCTCATTTCCAATCACCTGGTGATCTTAAACTTAAGGTATACACCAACCATTCTAACGCGTGCTAGGCAAGAAGTATTAGATATAACCTTTGCTACTAATAAAAACTTGAGAGGTGTCAAGGGACACCTGGATGGAAGGAAGTTCCTTTATACAAACACACACATGAACCTTTTATGACTTGGTTAGCACAATAGTAAAGAGAGGTTGTAATGCGTACTTGCTAAAAATACATAAGCATTATTGTCTGTATAAAATCTCTACTTACCTAACTCCATCAGCAATATCTGGAACTTGTGCAGAAACACTGTCAGGATTCATTATTATTTGGGGTATCTATATAGTTTTCTCACCTGGTTGAGTTCTATAAATATATAATTGTAAATTAAAATGAAAAGATAAATATACATAAATATCAATAAAATAAATACAAAAAATACATAAATAAATAAGATCCAACCAGATGGAAGCCCTCGGCAGGGGAGACCACACGGCCAAGGGTTAGGAGGAAAGGGAAAAAAACCGGCGGACGATGCGGGCGGTATCGAGGAGCACCGCTTTCTGCATTTGAGCCCGGAGCGGTCCGTCACGGAGTCCCAGTTGCCTCAGATAAGCCGAGAGGCTGACTGGGATTAGGCCATTCGCAGAGACGACTACAGGTACTACTACTAATTTCGGCCGACTGGCCACCCCACATGTCGGTCACCTCGTGAGCCAGGTCCAGATATTTTGTTCGTTTATCTGTTTCGGCTTTCACGAGGTTCTCGTCATACGCAATGGTAATGTAGACCAAAAATATCCTTGACTGTGCCCGGTCCATTAGCTAAATATCAGGCTTATTCGCAAGAATAGTCCTGTCTATTATGATGGCCCAGTTCCAGAAGAGCCTGGCGCGGTCATTTTCGAGCACGGCTTCCGGCAAGTACTTGTAATACGGTAATTTCCTGTCCACGAGACAGTATTTCAGAGCGAGCTCCTGGTGTAGAATTCTGGCTACTAGGTTGTGCCTGTGCAAGTACTCAGAGTTAGAAAGCGCCGAACAACCGGAGATGACATGCCTAAGTGACTCTCCAGGATGGCGACAAGCTAGACAGACGTCGACAGTGTTGTTGTCCCTTAGGATGTATCTCCGATAGTTGTTGATCTTAATAATCAATTCAGGATTCATTATTATTATTTTTTATTATTTATTATGTACAAAAAACCTGTATACACTCAACAAAAATAATCGTCGCGACACCACACTGTTCAATGCGAAATAGAAAGATGAAACGAAAATAACTGGCTCGCTTTCTATGAAAGAGAGAAAGAGAAAGAGAGAGAGAGAGAGAGAGAGAGAGAGAGAGAGACAGAGAAACACGCGAACGCCTCATGGCTTACAACTATAGCAAAAAGTATTTACAACTTTTTGGTCTTATTTTTTTCCGTCTAGCCCCCTTTCGCAACGCGCGATAAGGAACTTCGTTCTGATATATCCAGGCGGATGACTGGAATGTTACTAGTGAAAACTTGATAGCTGATCACAAACGCATTAATTTTGTGATTGGAGCATCACCAACTTATGATGTTTATGCTTTTAGGGATTAAAAAGCGATATATGATATGTCGATGGGTAAAAACTGGACCTCAACGTAGGCTTTGGAATTCATGTGGAACTCCCCAAATTCAAACTTAGTAAGAATTTGGGTAGATTAACTTCTACCTTCGAGGCAGGAATTTTCGCCATTCATCAGTGTGCGGAAATCAATCTGCAAAAACACTACGTCAACCATATAATCCATATAAACTATGATAGTCTAGTAGCACTGCTAGCGCTGAGATCAAACTTAGTGAACTCGAAGCTAGTTGGAGACTGCGTGAACCGTCTAAACACCCTGGGATGTAACAACAGAGTCGTTTTAAGATATGTTCCGGGCAAAGACCTATTGCCACTGTGGTTATATTCTCTATAGTTCCGGGTCACTCGGGTGTTGTAGGTGAACTTACCAACAGGCTCGCACGGAAAGACTCATTGAGTTTTGGACTCGAGCCATTTTGTGGAATCTCTAAAAGCCTAGATACTCTTTATCACAATAAATCGCTTAAGATCTGTTCTGATAAACCAAGGCCTAAAGCATTCTAAAACCTTAATCCGCGCTTTTGATCGTAAATTCGCTACAGAAGCCCTGGGATTAGGTAAAAATAAACTGCGCATTTTGGCTAGAGCTCTGACCGGACACTAGTGTCTTATAAAGCACATGTAAAATAAACGAGCAAACGTAACACTCATCTGGAAAACTATATACCTACTTTGCCTAGAAGAAGTGAAATTGCTTACAGCTAAGCAATTACTTCTATTCATTAAAGACATAGGGCTTAGCAGCAATCACAATAAATCTTTTAGCTCGCAGTGATACTGGTCTTTCTAGACCTGCATACAAGCCCGCACAAAAAAGAAGGCTATATGAACAATCAGTCATGATAGCATAATAATTTTTCATTTATTATATATTATTAAAACTCATGCTGAACATAGGCGTCCTCAATAGGTTGCTCCATAGGGTATATTTGCCATAGCTGCCACGCTTGATAGGTGGTCTGGCAAGGCAGTTTCTTTTAACTTTGAGTTGTTATTAGGAAGATTTTACTACCCGTCGTCCACTACCATCTCGAGACGGCGAGGCCGGCTCTGCTCTTCCTGACCGAGACGCAGGTGTCCTCTCTGGCTGATGTTTCGTATCTCTCCTACCCGGGGTACAAACTGGAACACTCCTTTGTGCCTCGGGCTGGAGTTTGCGTTTACGTCAGAGAGGATATCTGTTCTCGACGCCTCGGCAGACTTGAAGGTTCGGACCTGTCCATTCTTTGGCTACGCGTAGACAGCGACGACCATCCGCGCGTCTACGGGTGCCTCTATAGGTCCCATAGCGTTAATGCCGAAACAGACCGACTATTCGACCACGTCCAAATGGCTACAGATTCGTTGCTACAGCAGATCCCCTCCGCAGAGATCGTGATTCTCGGCGACTTTAACGCCCATAACGCCGAATGGCTTGGTTCACGTTTAACCGATCGTGCGGGGGAGATCTGTTCATGATTTTGCCTTGGCATATGGTCTGACACAACTGGTTACTTCGCCTACGCGGATTCCAGATGTGGAGAATCATGCACCTTCCCTGTTCGACCTTCTGCTGACCTCTCACCCGACAGATATCAGATTTCCGTCGAAGCCCCTTTAGGCTCCTCGGACCATTGTCTTGTCCGGAGTGTGGTGCCACTCACGCTGAAATCGCAGTTGCATTCTGCAGGCTGCCGCCGTGTTTGGCACTATAGGTCAGCCGATTGGGATGGGATGCGGTCTTTCTTTGCATCCTACCCTTGGAGGCGGGTTTGCTTCTCGCCGGAGGATCCTAACGTTGTTGCGGATTCTGTCGCTGATGTGGTACTTCAGGGTATGGAACTTTTTATTCCTTCCTCTGTGGTGCGCATTGGAGGCAAGTCTCAGCCATGGGTTTGGTCGCTCCTGTAAAATAGCATCATGCTATAAGCAGGAGTGCTACCGAGCCTGGGCTGACGCATCAGCGTCCCGGGATATAAACTCCAGCGCAATAAAAAAGAAGTATAATTCCGCCTCTAGGTCCTTCAAAAGAGTCATTGCCAAGGCAAAGTCAGAGCACATAGGCAGAATTGGCGAGAAACTAGTTCGCCTTCCTTCTGGAACCCGTGCATTCTGGTCTCTCGCCAAGGCTGTCCAGGGGAATTTCTGTCAGCCATCTCCTCCATCTCTGCACAGGGAGGACGACTCACTGGCCCACACCGCAAAGGAGAAAGCCGATCTTCTAGGCTCTTTCTTTGCGTCCAACTCGACTCTCGATGACGGGGGGAGTACGCCGCCGACCATCCCACGGTGTGAGTGTTCCATGCCGGAAGTGCAGTTCACACAGCGCTCGGTTCGCGAAGCACTCCTCTTCCTGGACATCCACAAGTCGAGTGGACCTGACGGCATCCCCCCAATTGTGCTGAGGACGTGTGCTCCAGAGTTGACACCGGTTTTAACGCGTCTTTTCCGGTACTCCTACTCCCTAGGCGTAGTCTCAAAATCAGAAGAGGCTTTCGTCCACCCGATCCCTAAAAAAGGCGACCGCTCAGACCCGTCCAACTACCAGCCTATCGCCATCACCTCCTTGTTCTCCAAAACAATGGAGTCCATTGTAAACTGTCAGCTCATGAGGTACCTTGAGGATCACCAGCTGATTAGTGACCGCCAATACGGTTTTCGCCGTGGTCGGTCAGCTGGTGATCTTCTGGTCTACTTAACACATAGATGGGCGGAGGCAGTAGAGTCCAAGGGGGGAGGCATTGGCCGTTAGTTTGGACATTGCGAAGACCTTCGATCGGGTTTGGCACAAAGCGCTTCTTTCGAAGCTCCCTTCCTATGGGCTTCCCGAGAAATTGTGCGATTGGATCACCAGCTTTCTTGCAGATCGGAGCATCAAGGTCGTTGTAGACGGTGCAAGCTCCGATTACAAGCCTATTAATGCTGGTATTCCACAAGGCTGTGTGCTATCTCCAACGCTGTTTCTTCTGCATATCAATGATATGTTGCAAACCCGTAACATTCATTGCTATGCAGATGACAGCACTGGTGATGCTCTTTACACCGGCCGAGCCAATATTTCTCGGGAAAACGTCTCCGAGTGCCGGGACATACTTGTGTCTGAAGTCGAGTCTTTGCTGAACAGAGTCTCGGATTGGGGGCGACTAAATCTAGTCCAGTTTAACCCCCAAGAAGACACAAGTTTGCGCGTTAACCGCTAAAAAGGACCCCTTTGTCGTATCTCCTCAGTTTCAAAGCACTCCCCTTGTTGCCTCAGCCAGTATCGGAATCCTCGGCGTTTGACATGTCGAGTGACGTGCAGTTTCGTGGTCACTTGGAAGAGAAGGCCAAATTGGCCTCTAAAAAAGCTTGGCGTGCTCAGCAGAGTGGGACAGTACTATTTCATGCCGGCACACCGCCTGCGATTTTACAAGGCGCAGGTTCGGCCGCACATGGAATACTGTTCCCATCTCTGGGCTGGGGCTCCCCAGTACCAGCTCCTTCCACTTGACCGCATCCAGCGCAGAGCGGCTCGAATCGTCGACGACCGAGTGCTTTCCGATCTGCTCGATTCATTGGCACTGCGAAGAGATGTTGCATCTCTTTGCATTTTGATTTCGCATTCATGGGAGTGTTGTTGTTCTGATTAATCCCAGCCGCCAAATTTCGTGAACGCACTACGCGGCAAACGTCCCGATACCATCCACACCATCTGGATGCTTGGCGGTCCACCACAGTACGTTTCAAAAGCAGTTTTGTTCCGCGTACAACCTCTCTGTGGAATAGTTTACCACCGGCGATTTTTCCGCACCGATACGACCTGGGGACCTTCAAGAAAAGAGTTTACTCCTTTCTAAAGGGCCGGCAACGCACCTGTAATTCCCCTGGTGTTGCGGTTGATCGTGGGCGGCGGTAGTCACTTAACATCAGGTGAGCCGCACGCTCGTTTGCCCCCCTCTTCCATAAAAAAAACCATTTCCCGTTTAATTTACCTTTGTCGCTTTTTAGATATCCATTACATTAATTTCATAACAAATCTTAATTACGGCTATGATTATATATGCACCATAATACATAACTGTCTCGTTGTTTCAGTGTACGTAAACTCAGTTGCTTATCCTGAGGACCCAGGTTCGAATCCCCGGTGGGAACAAAGTCCGTTATTAGGTTTTTCGGAGAAGAAATTCTGAGTAACAGCCCGGAATTTAGGAATTTGGCGGTGTTTGAATCCCATGCCTCGGAAAACACATAAATCCTGCACCTGATCTCGCTCCAGTCGTGTCAGTTTGCCGTTCCATCATACTATAAGTTAAGATTACTCTTCAGAGGTGGAGGTGTCCATGGACTGCAGTGGCCACTTACCATCAGGTGGACTGTTAGTTCGTTTATCACTTCGGTTTTATCAAAAATAAAATGGAGTACCGATCCCATTTTTGGATAGTGCGACTGAATATCGGCTGGCTTTTTTGAACTAAGAAGAATGAGATGTAATAAGATTTGGAGATGATATTTCATTTCTTGATGCTTAGCTAAGTACCGTCTTTAAAACACGCTTAAAGTTGCCTGTCTATCGTGTTTCCAGCTTACATTTCAAGAAATATTTCGAAAAATCTCGGACGGTTTTACGCATCCGATCGGTCGTGGTTGGCCTCATATGTCCGTATCCCTTAGTTAACTCTTACACCATCAATGGGAGGAAATGAAGTGATTAGTTCTCTTACGCTGACAGAATGTACATAAAATGCCTTTAAACATAACAAAAGCATGCTTGTACGCATATTTATAAACAAAGCAATAAAATTTTGTCTTCAATATGCAGTAAAGGTAAAATTGTTTATTATTTTACCTTTACTGCAAATTGTTTATTTGTTTACATGTTGTCGAATGGGTCAACAAATAGCTTTGACACAAACAAAACGAGTGTAATAAATTTTGTAACATCAATTTAGCGAACGTCTTTAGTTAGTCCGACACCAGACAACATGAAGATAGCATTTAAATTTATTAGTACGTTTTTGTATTTAATTTATATTTCACCAGTATTCATGAATTATATATACGACGACGTTGCGAACATACGAGGGTTTCTACCGGCACACGACAACATCGGATCTTTCTCGAGGAGTAAACTTAATGGTCACAAAAAATATTTAACAAGTAACGGAAATCCGAAGTATCAAAAAGCGGCGAACGAGCGATCAGTAGATTCATATTTCAGAGTCATTAAATCATCAGGATTTGCCAATTCATTAATACCCGCTGTAAATACACATGAAGAAATACGCAAAATACAAAAGAACACCATACCGCCAAATCGCAACATGGATATAGCAATTACAGAAACCAAAAGTCCAAGTTCAAAAAAGTTTGTAAAAGTTAGAATGAGTACAGTAATGCCAGTAAGTGTAAAATCAACAATTAACACAAGTGAAATTAAAAAACTTAGCACCGACGGCACATACGAAGGTGATCACCGACAATCGAATGCAAAACTATATCATCACAAAATAAAAGATGCAGTTAATACTAAAGTTCATCAACATGAAGACGGTCAAAGAGTTGTAAGCAGACAGAACCACCGTCACAGGAGTTCTTTGTTGGCAAACAGATCGCAGAGCTTTCATCATAAACTGCAATCACCATCAAAATTCAACAAAACCATCCACAGATCATTAACTAATGACAAACATGTACCAAACGTTAGAAGGATTTTTAATGACAAAGGTAATAATCTACAAGATAAAATTCAGCAAAAGACTGGAAGGAAAAGGGATACAAGTGCAAACGAAGATACCGATATGTTTTTAGATAAGAATAAGTATTACACTATTTCTGATAATTTGATTTCCATGAATCGGGGACCAATCGATCAAGCAATTATTGCGAACATCGTTGATGATAACACAGAAGTGACCAATAGTCCCTACGCAGATTTCTACAGAATGAGTCCGGATATAACTGACCAACAGGATGGTTATATGTTTTTGGGTTCACAAAATGAACGTATAAATAATTTGTATAAGGAAAGAGAAGCTGCGATGAATTCCGAAAACGAAATGGAAAAAAGCCAAAATAATTACAAGAAATTTTCAAACAATATTAAAATGCACAAAAAAGTTAAAAACTTTTCTAATTTTAGGAATTTTTAAATGGAACTCTGGTTTTTTTATTTTTTTTTATAGCAAGCAGTTTCGTAAGTAAAAAGTCCCTTACCTACCAAGCAATAATAATAGAACAAAATAATACTTTATGAAAAGTGATAAAGTCATGGACTTACTATACGTCCATTGATAAAGTACTCTGTCATAAACTTTATGGAATAGATGAGGTATTAATCGGGCAAGAGTTAAATGCATTTAAAAAATATGCAAAACTAATTCTAAATATTTCAACGATCAAAATAGTTGTGCAAGTGCTATAAAACATTTAATTTAAATATTTCTAGTATTTTATTTACCTTTTATACACATTTACAATTGATATTATATGGTAGATTAGTGTTATATAAACAGTTGTTAAGTTAAACATTAAAAATGTATAAAAATGTTTACAATTTTTTATTGTGAAGACGAGTTGATTAGATTTTAAAGTCAATCGGTCGAGCCGTTTCAAACATTTTCAAAAAACAAAAATTTTATAGATTTAATAGCGTTGCGGTGGAAAATAAACGGGAAGTTGTAGGGATAGCCTGTGTCAGACAAGCTCACAGTCCATCTGATGATAATTAAATGCTGAGGCCCATAGACATCTACATCTATCTTCAATTAAGAATCAATGATGCAGATATGCAGATATGTGGACACACTTGAGGGCTAAAATGGAATGTCTTTTTTCCAGTTAAAAGGGTCTCCAGTTCTCTACGCTCACCATAAGAAACACAGCAGTTTTAAGATGCTATTTCACGCAGGTATTCTGTAAGAGCATGGTCCTTTCCCCCAAAGAGCAGACCCGTTCGTGCAACAACCATAATATAGCTGCAGTATTGCTGTAACACATGTAAAAACGTTTATTCCTTTCAGCCTATCAAAGGTTCAGTGCTGTTTATAGGCTTTCTCCAAAGATTGATTTTGTTTCATCCGTCGCCTCATACGAAACCTGTATGTATATAACAAGTTAAATTATGTATCTTTTTTAACCAACTTCGATTTTGATGATACTTTTTTATTTATAAGTTGGTGCTTCTCATGTGGTCAATTTTATCAAGATCTGAAGTTTTTGAGTTATCCTTAATAATGCGTATTTAATTGACAACGAATACGTTGATGATGTTCTCATTTTATTTATATTGAAATCGGTTGTAAAAAATTAAATTAAAATATATTGTCAGTCTTTCTACACTGTAGGTTTCGTATGCAAAGTGATCCTTCGAATATAATAAAATGTTCTCAGGAGTTGCCGCTGTAGGGTCGCCGCGGTATTGCATCGCATCGGGAGTGTTTATAGTGACGCGTGTATGATCTTGATGATTATCACGCGAAATTTCGTAAAAAAAAATAGCATTCCTGCTACGTAAGATCCGCGTCAGCAACAACAGTATTTTGAAATTGGGAGCCGATATTGCGACTGCCCCTTGTAGGGGTGCGTGGGTGTCAGTTGCTGTTGGCGAGTGTAAATGAATTGCACCCCAGTTATTTATTACTATATAGTATTTAAGTTTAAAATGTAGTATTAAGTTTATTTTAGATTTATTAGCAAGACATATTAAGACAGTTAAAATTTTGCGTTGCTACACTAACTTCTATGTATGTTAAAAACGAAGTAATTAGAAGTAAGTATAAGTAATAAATTATTTAATTATTTTTTTTATTTAATACCCATTTATAATTTTTATAACCTTAGTTTTAGCAGTGTCTCATAAAATAAATTTGAATAATTTTTCGAAAACTTTTTAATATGCACTTGCATAAAATAGGTAAGATATTAAAAAAATTATATGCATTTTACAAAAGTGGTATATTAAATTTATTACCCATTTCTTAATTTTAAAATAATAAAAACAAATATTCTATTCTTAATAGTTCGAAGACTGTTAAAACCAACCATGCCCTTCACTTTACCGTTATTCTTAGGAAATCATAGAATATATTATGTAATATAGATATATATTGCTCATTTTATTTATCTTAGCGACTATTGTGCATTTAATGAAGTCCTTCATTAATCGAAAACACCTACTCTAATAACGTGCAGGCACGTGTTTTTTGCAATTCTGTCAAAAGCAATGCACCGTACAAATAACACAGGGTTTTTCATTATCATTGACACAGAAGAGCATTACACAATCTCGAGAGCGCTCTCGAATCGGGTCATTCATGAATGTCAACCAAGCTGTATTATGTACACTATATAAGAGTTTGTCTTGCCGTTTATCGTCATTACTGACTAATAAGTCGATAACATGGCGCGGCGCATTGCGTTGTTGCTGATTGTGACTGTCGCATCCTGTATGGAGATGCGAGAGACTGTCGAAAGAATGGTCATGGTCCGTACGACTGGATCTGACCTTCAACCGGCCGCTACAGGTTATATTTACAAAAAACAAAGTGATGGCTTAGCTAGTGTAACTAAGATGGATGAAGGTGAGATACTAAAACAGTTATCGAAGTTCTACGATCAACCGAAATCTTTTGCAGCGCCCATTAAAGCTCCCGGACCATTCCATAGTGATGAAGCTGATGATATTAAAGCAGCATCACATTCTAGCGAATCGTATGTGATTCCTGTTGAAGTAAAACAAAAGGAAGATGATCACTTATTAGATGAAATAGCGAATGAAGATTATAAAAAGAGTTATGGTACTTATAAGAAAGATTTTACCGATTATCTTCATGGCCTAGGTCACTTCGAGGATGGGATTTATCATGAACATGGTGGAGGTGAGCACTACGGTTCTGATGGCCATTATAAATATGGTGATAAGGAATACAAAGGTTATGGAACAAAAAATCACTATGGCAAAGGAGACGTTGGGGACTACCACACAGAGAAATATGAAAGTTTCTATGTATCAGGCAAGAGTGGTCACAAGAAAGATTACGACGAAGCCGACAACCATGGCAAGAATTACGCAGAAGGTCATGAAGAAAAAGGCGGAGACCATGGGCATAAAGAAGCACACAGCAAAGCTGAAAAGGTTGAGGGATTTCACAAAGTCTTCGATAAAAATGAATTCAAGAAAGACCATGACTTTTATGATGGTGAAGGGCACAAAGGTGGCTTCCATAAGTTCGATGATGGATACGAATACAATGAATCAAACGACTCTAAACATAAGAAAGGAAGCTCTCATGACTCAGCAAAACACGAATCTGAATCTGGAAAAGAAGGACAACACGAGAAAGACTCAAGTGATGCCCACGACACCGCGCACTCAGATGAAGAAGGGGAATTATCTGACCACCATGAACACAAATATTTTGGCTCTAAAATCGGATCTTACGAGGGCAAAGGCTCCGGCTACGAAGTCAAGCACTGAGGGAGTGTTAAAGCTGATTGTTGTAGTTTTGTTGAGTTTTGTAAATATGTACTTATATATATAAAAATAAGCCAAGTAACTGTATATAATTTTTCATTTGTTAGATTAAATTAAGGTTTTTTTTATTTTGTTTTTTTATTTATTTAAGAAAACAACGTTAAAACGGAACAGGGATTGAATTTCTTTTGGATGCTATCTTTGTGTATATTTCATATCAATATTTTAATAGCTTTTAACTGCTTTTAAGTTGTCAGTACTGAAATTTTTATCTTTCTATAGAGATAAAAAAGAAAAATATTAAATTATTTTACATTAAAAAATTTAGATATTTAGGTTAAACGATTATTTTAAATAACATAAAAATGAAAATCGAGCTAGAAACTTGGTGACGATCGCAGCACTCATATTACATATATACACTTGCAATAAACTCCGAAAAAATAAGTCACAGTTTCGATATCATCACAAGACTACGATGAAATGTAGCACAACCAGTTATACTGGCTATATAATATGCAAGTCAAAGCAGAGTACAGCAATAAATGCACTGCAGTTTAGCGGTAAGAGTAGGTAAGAGAGTGGTATACCCGGTAGACTTTTATATGGAAAAGGATTCCTCTACCTATTTAGTGATTGTCTTTAAAAATTTTTTTGTATCTATAAAGGCGACTTTTATGATGTTCACGAGACGAAATGAGCTGGTTAATCCCCTTATGTCGATCTCAAGCCCGCCACTTCCTGTATGACGATTACTGCAAAGTTAAAGTAAAATTCAAAATATTTTTATTCAAAATTGGCCTTTACAAAACACTTTTTGAAGCAAAAAAGTTACGCTATAGCTTTTGTCTCCCCTATGAGGAGAAGCGGCAAAAAAACTTACAAGCTATTTTCACACAACAGTTATAATTTAACCCTAAACAAAAGTACACAAGTCAATAAAATCTATAAATAAAGTCAAAAGAGTTACGCCATCGCTTCTTTTCTCTCTTGTGAGAAGAAGCGGCAAAAAACTTACAAGTACGCAATAGATATAGTTCATCCCTTAAAAATAATACACAAGTCAATGAAATCTAAAAGACTCATTATGTTTCAGTATTCTTATACTTTTAACTTTAAATACTATAGATATTGTCTATTTTCTATGGCAATTTTTTCTTTTTATAGAATAGTTCCAAAGTAGCCCACAGTCCACATGATGGTAAGTGGATGCTGTGGCCCATAGACATCTACATTTAACCTCGATTAAGAATCAAAATGAAGATGCGTTGTCACCCTTGAGGAATAAGATGAAATGCCTCGATTCCAGTATAATGGGTCTCCGGTTCTTTATACTCACCAATCGAAAAAGCTATTTTAACCTCCTATTTTACGCTGGTATTCTGTGAGAGTGTGGTCCTATCCCGGTCGAGCCGACCCATTCGTGCTACAATCATAATATAGCTGCAGCGTGACTCAACCACGTTCTCTCTTCTTTCTTCGAAGACGATTCACAAAGTTATACTTCATCTCAAATATTTTAATTTTGTGTTCTTATTCTTAAAATTTGAAGGATTTAAGTAAACTTTAAAATTTACAAATGTCCAGGCATTAATGGGGCTAAAATTGATACAAAACCCACGCATTTTTTTTAATTATTTTATTGGCTGTGGGGTTGTCGATCATCAGATATTTGTA